CCTGCAGAGTGCTCAAAACACGAGGGGTCATAGCTTTAAGCTCCAACAGAACCATGCTAGGTTGGAAGTCCGGGCTAATTTCTTCGCTCATAGGGTCATATCAAGGCGGAACAGGTTATCCGGGGCAGTGGTCAGCTGCACCAATGTGCACAACTTCAAGGCGACACTGGATGCGTGTTGGTCAGAAATTTTCCCTGAGGTTAGGTGGTATTGCATCGTCACCGAAAGCAGGGTAAATTGTAGTCCTGAACTATGGAATCGAGGCTTTAAATTGCACTTGAAGCTGATATGTTTCAGAAAACTAAGGTCTCATACCGACGAGGCGAGAAGACATCTCTTCTGTTTTCTCTTTTTCAACCCGCTTGAGAGAACCTGGCTAAAGAAAACTCAGAAAACGCAGTGCTGGGAGCCAAGATTACCCGCCAACAACACGATAATCTGGACGCTCGATTGGCAAGGGCCATTATTCGTCCTGTGAAGACTGGACTGGACTGGACTGAGTTGACTTCCGGCCGCACACTGCGTCTCCCAGGAGAAATGGTGGCACCGACCCCACCAACCGACTTCAACTACGATGACTATGCAGCTCGTTTAGTACATCGTATGCGACAGTTGCCCAGCTGCGACGGTCCTCCTATTTTCTCTAAAGACAAACGAAGGCGGGGCAATTAGCGAAACGACGACGGACCTGCAGACGCTTTTCTATAACATTTTCATTTCCCCATATTTCGTTTGTGGGCCAGCAACCCCTGCCACAGCACCGGGAACATATACAACAGCTGATTTCCCATATTTCCGTGACGAAGCACCAAGCAATTCTGTTTTTTTGGACTTGCAAACCACAGCAAACAATCCATGCGCCCTTATCAGAGGCTCTCCCTAGTCTTCTAGGGAAGGGGGAGCTCTGTACCCTTCCTCCTAAGCATCTCATTGTTTTATCACACCAAGGCCACCTCTTTGATCACCACGTGTTTGCTTTCACTTCCCGCACGCTTGCTCACGCCTCTGTATCTCTCTTGCTCTGCGGGTCGTTACAATACAAGCCATCCTCCGTTTCGTGAATCGCCTCGTTCTCTTCTCGTACGAACGTACGTTTGCAACCTGTACGTATCAGCTCGGGGTATTGATAACCTAGTGCCTACAAATTGGTGAGCCCTCATTTTATTTTGTTTACGTTAGGTATTTTTTCGGAGAAATTTTAATTTCTCTAGGTCACATTTCTGCTAACTTTTCCGTACATTTATTTCCACGAAGCCGCTCTCGGTCGTATAATTTTAGATTATATTTATCTCTAGTTTGCGGTTTAACCCTCATTTACTGTTGGATTTTCTTCCATTTTCGCTTTTCCAATGTAGTTTTTATTATAGGTGCTATTCGGTCATATTTTTGTAACCCGTTCGACAATCGCATATTATATATTGATTGATAATAATAATAATAACAATCATAGTATATTTCATGAAGCCCGTGAGGCATGTTAGTGCGCATAATCAAATGTACAACAATGTGAAAAAATGACGGTCCGAACAAAGATAAAATGTACATAGAGGGTAGGAACGTAATTTTCTTCTTCAGGAATAGGATAGTCGATATTTGAAACCGGCGTCCCATGGATATAGTCGACCTCCATACGGTGCAGGCCTTTAAGACTGTACTTGATAAGCGATAGGTGGAACTATTTTCCTCGCGTCTAACGACCCACTCGCCAAGTTGGTGAGATTAGATCCTGTTTCTCATTTCTATTTCAGCAGAGCTGCGTGCCCAAGCAGTGAGCATACCATCGAAGGAATTCTGGACGTTCGGATGGCCGTGACCATATTCAGTTCTGTGCAACCTGACCTGACCTGATCTGAACTGAACTGATCAGAACTAACTAAGGGAGCTCATTCCATCTAAGGCAGCACGGCCAGATGGCATCCACCCCGCTATCCTGATACCATTGGCTGACCACTTGGCTAAGCCCCTTGCCAGACTCTTTAGTGCCTCTATCGCACAGAACCAACTACTCACGGACTGACTTTTGGCGACAGTTATCCTTATCCACAAGGGGGGAGAGCGAAAGTCGTGCTCGAACTATCGCCCAGTCAACCTGACATCGGTAGCACTGAAAGTCATGGAGAGAGTACTGAGTGCCAGAATCGCTGAACACGTGGTAGCTGTAGGTACATCGACGGCTGACCAACATGGAAGGAGGAAGTCGTGCCTGCCAAATCTCCTCTGTTTTCTTGATGAAGTGACTAAGCGGATCGACAGGGGAAGGGAAGTTGAGGTACGCTAATTAGACTTCCAGAAACGGTTCTACTCCGTCAATCATAGGCTACTGATGACGAAGTTGAAGGCTATTGGGCTTCCTCCGGGACTTCTCGAATGGATACGCAGCTGCTTAACAGGCCGGGGGTTTGTTGTGAGGGTTGAAAATAGCACATCTATCCAGTGACCAGTGCTTAGTGAAGTGCCACAGGACTCTGTCCTAGGTCCACTGCTTTTTCTGCTCTAGATCTACGACCTCAGCACCAACCTAGAAAACCGCTGCTACAAGTTTGCAAACTATATAAAAATCGTCGGGGAGTCCGCGACAGAGTCGGTTCAGAGAGACATTGACAAAATACACGCGTAGTCAGTGAAATGGGATCTGCCTCTGAATAACCTGAAGTGTCAACAGCTAGTCAAAACTGGAGACACGCAAGGCGGCAGGACACTGGGAGCCCCAGACCAGTCTCAACAGATACCCACGGTAACCATAGCCAGAGACCCAGGTGTCCTTGTTAGTGCGGACTTCAAGCCGGGACTCCAGTACCGAGATGCAGCAAACCGGGCATCCAGAGCCTTGCACCAGCTAAGACGTGCGGTAAGCTCGCGGAAATCCGAAGTCTTACTCCCTCTTTATATGGCGTATGTGCGTCCTCACCTCGAATACTGCGTCCAGGCTTGGAGCCCGTTTCTGATCCAGGACAGTAAAACGCTGGAAACACTGCAGCGTCGCTTCATCAATTGGTTTCCGG